TCTATCTTGTAAATGTAAAGAAGTGGACCGTGGGTTGGACACTCTGTCTGGTATGCTAGAAAGGATAAAGCTTGTTCCCTTTTTTTTTTTTTTTGTTGGGGCTCAAACACACACACACTTGTCTGCAAATTATTCCTAGTCAGAAGGGCTTCCCTTGCTCCTAGGGAAGTGTATTCTGCTTCATTACAAAATTCTCAGGTATAGCATTGCCTGTCCTAGCTTATTCTTATTTTTCATGGCTGTTATGGGATAAAGAGAGTACAACAGTGCCATTGTTCTTGCCTAGTAGAGTACGTACATCTAGTTTATTAGGTGCTTTACAGTGTTTCAGCTGCATGATAAGCTGGTTCTGACAGAGCACCCTGGGGTGGGTCCTTAGGTGAGGCTGAGCGGCTGACTAGCAGCTAATGGTCTGCACTGCCTCCAGACTCTCAGAGTAGTGGGAGAGATTGCCTTTCTGTCCGGTTTGAAGTATTTCCTGTACATGTTAACTTTGGAAAGATGCATGTGCAAAATAAGCATTTTTCCTATTGTCATTTCAAGGCAAACAATGCACATTCTAACCTTGAGGAAGTCGCAGCCAGCAGCACCAGTGTGAAGTACTACACTGTGTGGATTTTGATTAATTTTGAGGCAGGAAAATATTTATGGCCAGGACTATCTCTGTTCATGTATTTCTACTACAGTGCATGTCAACGTTGACCATTCCTTGCTAGACAACACTTCTCATTTTCAGTTATTATCTCGGTAATAGTGGCGGTTTTAGTGGATAAAGTAGTAGTAGGGAAATGTTGCTTTAATTTAGCCTTTAATAGGTTGATTCTATTTGCCATAATAAGAACTACTATCACAGAACTAGCACATTCGCCTGTACTTCATGCTTCATAACTGAGAAGCTCACCTGAACTTAAATCCCTAAAGCTTTTTTTTGTTTTTTGGGGGGTTTTTTTTGTTTGTTTGTTTGTTTTTTTAGTTGTAGCTGATACTCTTTTTGGCAAAATTAACACTTTTATGATTAGACTTGCCCTTGATACAATTTTTCTTTTTCCACATTACCAGTAATCACAGTATTTAAAACTGCCGAGATTTAAAACCTTTTTTTATTTCAGTGAAATTTAACATCTCACATACTGCATCTCTGTAGTATGAGTCACCTCAGCATGTCAAGCCAAATCCACAAAGTACTTCCATTATATCTTCACCTCGAGTACCATGTAACATTACCAAAGGCTGTTCCCTCTCCTTGTGGTTTTGCACACACCTAGTCCCTGTCACATTATAAAATCATTTTAATATGCATCTATTGTAAATGAGAATACAGCAGAAATATAGGAAAAAAGTTACGTTTTTTTTCTCCTCTGTTGAAGAGTTGGCCAAGTTTTCATGATGAATTTCCTGTAGCTATCTGTTTGCACGAGTTAAAAAACAGACTTTTTGCATCTTCATGTTCTTGTATTTTCAATAATCTTCATGTATAAATTTCAAGGTAACTTTATCCTTTACTAAACTAAAAATCATGTACCAAAGGATTAGGTAGGCCAGTGCTTTGTTGTCAGTTTTGTCTTTCCAAGACATACTCAAATCACATGAAGTAGCCCAAATATTTTTCTGCATCTTTGAATGGATGGGCTCTCTTCCAGATCATATGCCTGTGGCTAAGACTGTCCCACTTCAATAGAAGTCTTTCTATAAGAGGAAGAGGAATTAAAGTGCTGCGTTTAACTAGGGCACACACTTTTGTAGCAAAAGGCAGCGTAAATCAGAAAGGAACAGAGGAGCAGAAGTTGAAGCAGACTGTAGGGTCGATACCTCTGCAGCATGCATGGCTGCGGGAGCGAAGGTGAATTTGAGGTTGTGCTTGAGGGAAGCTTTGTGTGGGTGGACTGAAGTTACGTGCTGTATGCTTGCGATGGTCCTGGGAGCAGCAGCTCACTTCTGCTAGACTGTCCTTGCTGCCGCTGGCTGCTCGCCAGCCTGCTCCCCTCGCAAAGCGCCCGCATTGCCTGTACGTCCGCCAAGTGCCAAGTCGGATGCAGGTGATGTGAATGGCCAGGACACAGATCTGAAGAGCTGCACACCAGGCAGCCCTTGCCCACCCACAGCGTACAGTATGTGCTGTCAAAGCCCATTACGTACAGCAGTATGCCACAGCGCGGAACTGCAGCTGTGACGGGGGCAAAAAGCACAATGCGTAATTGTGCACAGCAGCAGTTCGGTCTCCAGCAGCGTCTGCAGCTCCGTCGCGATTACTCCAGCAGCAGGGCATGTTTGTCACACTGCAGCCCCTGAACACGTGCGCAGAAGGAGGGAAAGGAGCTATGACAGTGGCATGTGTCATTGGATCGCATGTCCCTGGTCCTTTGTGTTAACCTGCTGCGTGTCATGACAGCTGCGTTAGCTTAGGAGTTATAATAGCCTGAGGCTGGTTGCGTGCAGCTCTTTGACCGAGCATGGGGCAAGGAAGAGGCTGGGGTACCTACCCCTTGCGGATAGTGTCTCTCGGGGTGTTCACTCTTCAGAGCCAGGACTGTGTTGGCGTGCACAGAATATGCTTCATGTTCTCTTGGGACGTTGTTGTACCTCATGTGTTGAAAAGCAACAGACTCTGTGGTCTGTTTAGAGCCCTACGTGCCTACCTGTGTTTGGTCAGGTGACACATGAGATGTAATCTTCCATGCCGGACACCGCTATCACTGAGACGTCCCAGAGCCACGACACAATCACATGGTTGATTAAAGCACTGGAAATACAGTGTGAAAATCTCTCATGCAATATTGGCAGGGAAGTTTCTTTGAACTTGTCAGCACTGTAACTGTATCAGTCACTGGTGGCTCTGGGCCGCGCATTGCTAACAAGATACAGAGCTTCAGGGTTGTTTAGGATTTACCCAGAATACTCAATTTCAGTCTTACAGCAGGGATAAGAAATGAAATCTTTCACCTTTGATTTACTGAACACAGCTGCTGCAGGAGCACTGGCAGAGTCCTGTCTTCAGGACTATCTCCCACGTAGAGCCCATGACAAGTGGCATTGTAATTAGTAGTAATTTATTAATACAGTCTGTTTGCTTCTCTGTGAGAGCGGGAACACAAAGTCTCCAGATTATATAGTTTGGGTTCCTGTGGTTGTCAGCTTTATCCTCCAGCTTGTCTTGTGCATCAGCCTGTCATGAGGACTGGGCATGACTGACTGTTCTGACGCAGGTAGTAGGAAGTGGTGAGTGACATGCAGCAGCGCTGAGGCCTTGGGTTTCACAAACGCCACTGATTCCGAGTTACCAGAGCCTTCCCAGGTCTGTGTGCTTAGTCACTAAAGGCACGTTCTCTGCCGCTCCGTAGAATTGGTGGTGCCCATCCTGAGAAAGCGCTTTGTGAGAAAGAACCGCTTGCATTTGACCTTGACAGCTATCGTGCATGTGTAGCCAGTGGAGAATGAAATGGCCTCCTTGCTTTGTACACACATTTCACCCATATGAGATAGTTGAATGCAAAATCTGTATGTCACTGGGGTTTGTGACAGTCGCTGGAGGACTTTGGAACAACAGAGCAGCGTTGGAGGTCCGTTATAAAGCCAGGAAATGTTACTACGTGTTCACAAAAGACTACACTACAAATACGGAAGGAGTAATTAATTAGAAAACAATTTATTTAAATTAGACACTTTATTGAAAATGTCAGAAGAAAGGGCTTAGGAGGTGGAAAACTTTGGAGAAAGGAGGCGTATAAATGTAAAGCTGTGAAGACCGGGCGCTAGCTTGGGCTGAGGGCCCAGCTCAGGGGAGCAGCCGTGGGCACT